ATTTAGCTGTGACTTTTCACCTTACGAGGTACTGAGATTTAAGTATTATTTCCCTTTGACAGAAAGTGGGATGAAAAGCTATAATCTGAGCACACTTCTGGGAACAAAACTAAGTATTCTGAAATCATTTGTTTAATTCTCAGCAAACTGTTTTGACTTCAGAGTCTCTAGTGCTGAAATTAATCGGTGGTTTTAATTATTGCCCATTAAATTTTGGAAACGAAGTCGTTTGTGTCCGTGGAGCCATTTCTATTTAGCTGAGCCAGAATTTTCAGATGGAAAAAGGTGTAGTCGGAATCATTTTAACCAGCTCCAGAATTTGCCTTTGTATGCCCGTTATTTACGCAGGGCATCGATGGGGAACAGTGATCCGGCTCTCTGCAGCTCCGAACAGGATGCACGCTGCTCAGATGCCAGGGGAAAGGCTTGTTGCCACCGCCGTGCCCGGTGCCCTGGCTGCCCATCGCCAGCCTTGCGTTAATAGCCCTGCCCAAAAGAAAATCAACTCATCAGGTGCTAAGCTCGGCGACGCGGGTTCAAATCACCGCCGGAGCACGGCGGCGAGGTGCTGCTGCTGCGGGCAGAAGGAGCCTGGTTCGGAGCAGATGCGACCCACAGCAAAGGAGCATGCGCGCGCTCTCCTTCTAGGCCAGGGCTGGCTCTGAGGAGAGGAGCTGCTGTGGGTAAACACCAGCTGTGTTTGCTCTGGTCCGAGCAGTGATGGGGCTCGGAGGTGGAGAAGGGGATTGTCTGACCCCGTGGGGAACGGCTTGTTTAATGCTGTAACAGTTACACAAGGAACAGGCAGAACAGGGAAAGGAGGGGGAGATGGAAATCCTGCTGCCAGCCCCACTCCTCTCCCGCGGAGCAGCTGTAACCCTGCTGTTGTACCCAGAGCCTTCGAGGGACTTGATCAACCGAGAAGATACAAGTGCCAGGTTAACTGGGGGCTGTTTTCAGGCCTGGCTGTGCCTTGTGGAGGGTTTTGACCCTTTCAGGAAAAGGACCCTCTCTTACTGCACGGCTGTATCCGTGCCATTTACTGTACTGGGAGCAACGCCGGGAGAGGAGGGCAGCGGACTTCAACATGTGGGACAAGGACTCGGGGGGGGGAGCTGTGAAAGGCAGCTAGAAATGCCAGAAGGCTTAAATCTGCTGGAAGCCCAGCTTCGAGAAGAACTGAGCTGGGAAGGAGATGAAGGTGTTTAACAGGGAAGCGAGCAGCTCGTTGTTCGGCATCGCTGCGGTTTGAGTGCTCCTCTTGTCTGGAGTGGCTGCAGGACTTCGTTCTTCCTTAGGTGTATGTGGCTCGACTTCACATAGGAACAAGGAGGTGGCTCGGGGGGCAGAGTCCAGCTAGTCAGGGCAGGCTGAAATCTGTGGCCTCTGTGCATACTCAAATAAACCCTTTTACTTCCTTTCCAAGCATTTTTGGATGCTTCCCCACTCCGAATGGATTGGCTGTTGTGGGAAATGAGGTTTTGTGTGTCTCCCTCGGGCAGCGTGAGTTGCTTTTATCCTGTTCTCGTCCCTAGTCAGCTTATTACAAGGTGCAGCTTGTACGTCTTCTTACCACTGCCTTTTACAAGGAGAACTAAATTAAGAAGAGCTTCTGGGAGGTGGATCTGGAAGGATAGGAAGGATGTGACCTGCGGATATGACTGTACAGGTCAAATTAAGAGGCAGAGTTAATTTAAACTGCACAAAATAGGAGTTTGTGAGAAGGATTCACTGCGAGCCTGCAATTATAAATCAAACAACTCACTGGGTGCAAATGACAGTTCTTAAAATCAGATCCAGTAATGCAGGCGTAGGGGGAGAGAGTGCAGTCAGCACCCCACGGCTGAGGTGGGGCAGGGACAGGGAGAAGGAGGTTAGGCATCTCCTAAAGAGAAGCCACAAGGAAGAGCAGCTTTTCCTGTCTCTTAAATTTAACTTTTCAGCTGATGTTTTATGTGAATTAATAAAGGGGAGAGATAGGATTCAATGAGTAAAATTTATGAGCTTCTCCTTAATGCCATGGGAAGAAGAAACCTGATTGACTGTATCAAAGTTCTACCAGGCTTTTGGATGGAGATGTCTGAGCTTCATGTCAGACGGGTGGGGCTGATGTCACCTCTTGTTGATGGGCGCGAAATGCCAGTAGACACTTCTGGAAGGGTTTGATCCAGTGGACAGTGTCTCCTGGTCTGTCAGTGAAAGCTTTTACCCTTGCAAGGCCTTTTATCTTCACTGGGCATTCAAGCAGATCCTCATGCTTGCCCAGTGCTGAGCAAGGCAGCTGCTAACTGCGATTGATGTGGGAGCTGGTGTTGTGGTGGGGAGGAGGGAAGGGCCTGGAGGTCCCTCACCCAAGCTCCATTATCCAAGGAGGAGAGAACGGCTGGAGGAGGGCGGCTCAAAAAATGGCAATGAGAAATGCTACTGCAACAGAGGCTTTGATCTGTTCCTTGCAGTCCATGGGGATGTGGGAAGCCCACCTGGGGTTCAGAGTTACTGAGGGTGTTCTGATGGAAAGAGACCACCCAAAATAGAAAGTATCCAGGAAGGAGAGTTGTATGATACTGTAGCAGGCTGCAGCATAACAGAGCTTAACACTCTAAAACTGATTTAAAAGCTTAACCCGTATTTTGGGGACAATTTGTGATTCCCATGCTCCCTTGGCTGGGATTAGCAGAGGGTCTTCCCTGCACTGCTGGATGGAGCCAGGCCTGGGTGAAGATGAAGGGAGATTGTGGGAGGGAAGATGAAGCTGGCACTTACATGCAGCACTGGGAGAGCGGGGCCAGGATGGAGGTTTCGTCATGGGAATGCCGCCCAAACCTGGAGGAGATAAGCAGAGAGTGCAGAGCTTTAGTGCCTGCCCACCACCTTCCCCACCTCCCCGACATCCTCCTGCAGCCTCACCCTCTGGCATTGTCCAGATGTAAGAGGAAGCCGTCGTCCCCAAACTTGGTGAACATTTCATAGTGGTGACGGTCCATGTTCCCTGGTAAAGGGCAGAGGAACAGAGTTTCCCTTGCATGTGGCTGAGTAATTTTCTCAACTATCCTACATTTTCTTTCAGATCTGCAGTGAAATAGTTGTTGCCTTGCTGGAAGGTTCTGAGGTGCTCAGAGCTGCTGCTCTCATCTTGCTGGTCCCCCCCAGGGGAGTGGACTGGGGGCTCCCCCTCACCTGCACATCAGGAGGGGTTGTGCTGCCTGGGGGAGACCGTAGTCTCCCAAAACTGTCCGTGGAGCAGAAGGGATGGCTTTGAGGAGCACCGTGCCGTGGGAGGGCAGACAGCCTGATGCTGAAGGCCCACACGAAGGGACAGAACGTTACTTCCCCCTGCATCATACCTATTAGGAAGTCAAATATGGCCATGTCAACGATGTTGAGCAGCCGATTGCCGTTGCTGTAGGGGTAGATCTCCCTCACCGTGTTGCAGTAGAGCGGATTCACTTCCCACCTGCAGGAGATGGAGGAGAAGGGGGAGATGCACTCAGTGGTTGCTGCTGCCGTGGCTCAACAGCACCCCAAAGCTGGTCTCCAGTGCAGAGATGGAGAGCAGGAGGACTTAAATCTCCCTCCTTGTGCATGCAGGAGACTGGAAGTCGAACCCAGTCAATGCCCAGGCATTAAGAGTTATTAGACTCATTACGGGCAATCGCTGAACCTTGGCCTTCCTCTGCCTGGACATCCAATTTCTGTGCCTGTCTATGTGTCTCTACCCTGCTCCTTCTCTTTCCTACATGCTCCCTGCAAGATACAGATAGGGGAAGCAGCATCATTTACCCACTTACTCCTCTTTTCCGTCAAACGAGTAGGACCGGATCCATGGGTTTGGGATGGAGAGTCGTGGCGCCAGGTTGAGGGAGGGCAGGAAGGCAGAGAGGGACCCTTCCAGGAGGTGAGGGTTCCCACACACCGCGTACTCCGTCTTGCACATGTACGGGCACTTGGCAAAGAAACAAACGTTGCTGGCTGGGAGGAGAAGAGAGAGGAGAACAGGGAAAGGAGCTGTGAACCGCAGGAAACTGCAAGGTAGCCTGGGCTGACCTCTCCCCCGTTGTGTGACAGAGACTGCAGGTATTGTGGCGTACGGAACCACATTACCGATGTGAAACTGCCAAATCGTGGATGATACCTGGATTTTGGTCGACGGACAGACCTGGTCCCAAGCTAGGGGAAAGGTTGGGGGAAATGGGGCAGATGGGTAGATCTGGCAGATGATTCCAGCTGGAGGCTGAGGGACACCTCTGCTGTAACAACGTCTTTGCGCATGTCTCACCAAGAATTTAATTTCTGCTTGACAGCACGAGTCCTGCCGGCCCCTTTTGCATGCCGACCCTGCTCTCCCACCCACCATGGAACGACAAATCTAATCCCAGGTTGTGACAGCCAAGTGCTCGCCTACCTGGTGAGACAAAAAAGACGCTCTGCAGGATCTCGTTCTTGGTGACCTCCAGGATCTCCTTGGTGACGTTGATCAACCTCCCAACTGTGGGCGGGACTCTCCGGAAATCCAGGATCCTGCTCGAGAGGGACAGCGGCTCAGAGCCTGCGGCGCAGAGGGACGTTACTGCGCGGGACGGCACCGTGGGACAGCAGGTGCTGCCCTCATCCCTTCCCTTGGTCAACCGGGGGCCTTCTGATGACCGCACCCATGGGGATTTTTTTATTTTCTCCCAACTTCTTTCTCACAAACAGCCAGGATCATTTTACCCTCTGGACCAAAATGCAGCCAAGTTCAGGTTTTGGTATTTTAATAGCTGCCAACTGGAACAATCTGGATGTTCTCCAGGATTCACACTGTCTTCCCCAACCAGTTTCTCCCATCACCTCACAGACAAGCGGGGTCCTTTGGGAGCCAGAACAGCCCTTCGGGCCCTTCTACGATGTTGGGTTTGACATGGAGTGAAGATGTGTTGAACCTGGAACAACACGGCTGAGACAGCGGGAGGTGAGGAGGGATCACCCCCACTCAGAGGCACTCATGCCCAGCTGATTCAGCTAAAATATTCTTAAAAAAATCAGGGCCCGTAGCAGAAAGGCATCCATGTCCGTGAGTGGAAAGCTGCTGTGGATTGCTGAGTCAGTAACACGAAGTGAACCAGCAAATGCTGTGCTTTCCTCCTTGGGTAATGCCCTCTGCTTCTGAGAATCGGCCACAAAACAGGACTTGGCCTGTTACTTATTGAGCAACGTTTAAAGGAAAAAAAATATCATTTGCTTTTATCTAGCATTTTTCAGCTCTGAAAACCACAAAAGCACTTCAGAAAAGCAGTGCAGCCTCGTTTTTCTGGTGGTGAGGCTGGGATGCAGAGGCAAGCTGATGGCAGGTGAGTCAACCAGAGTCACTGCGCTGATGGAGGGGCAGAGCTGGAAAGGAAATTCAGCTTTCTTCAGTCCCTCGCTCAGAGTTTGAGCGACAGGATTTACAGTCTGGTCCTGCTTATCGTATAAGTTGGGCCTGGGAACTGGAGGTCCAGTTCACCATCATCATCAGGGATCGCTTCAATACTCAGCCCACTGAGGGAACAGCAGCTGCTGCCCTCCTCTTCTGATAAGGGTATTTTTGATTTTATTAAATACAAAGCCTGCTGGGAAGAGGTGCCAGGTTAATTGCTCATTAGCTCATTAGCTGAGGGCTTGAAACTCAGTTTATCTCAATCCAAAACACGCCTTGATTGCTGATTGAGCGTGTGACTCCCTCACCGGGAGGGGATCCAGGTTGTGCCCATCTTTGCGCTTCGATGCATGGGAGGGACATGGCCGTGTGACAAATACCTGACCCCTTCCCAACCTGGACTTCATCTGCCAGCCTGTTCTCGTGCTGTGGCCAAGGTGAAGCTGACTCCTGGGCTTCAGATGAGAGCCAGAGCCACCCCACCCCCAAAGAACGCATCCACTCCCAAAAGGCTGCTGCAAAGCAGTCGTTGTCTAAGGGTGAGCAGCTCTGCAGGGCTCAGCAGGGCTTTCCCCATGCCCAGGCTCTCTGTGGGCAGAGGACTGGGTGCTGGAGGAGGCAGGGCCCTACCTGTCCAGGTGGAAGGCGGCGATCTCTGCATTGTGCCTCTGGAAGTCAACGAAGTAGAAGAAATCCTCAGGAGTCTCTTCCTCACGTTTCTGCCTGGGGGAGAGCAGGGGAGTTAACCCAACTGGGCACGGCAGTGCTGGCAGACAGCCCGGACACGAAGGGGTGGCACAAGGAGTGCACCCAGGGACAGCTGGCATGTCTCCACGTTGGTGCCAGGACCACCGGGCAGAGTGGCAGAGCCTGGTGTCCAGCCCAGCACCCATCGCCCGCCGTGATGAGGAGCCACGCTTGCGCCCTGTCTCTGTGCCAGGCGGGCGAGGGAGGCAGAAGGGCTGACTCTGGGCTTTAAAACATTTTGTTTTCAGGTTTTTTAAAACCTTTTTGTTCAGACCCGCTCACTTAGGACAGCGTGGTGAGTGGGTTAGCACAGGGGATGGCCGAGGCCACGCCGCGATTCTCATGTCCCCACAGAGGCAGAGAAGAGCTCAGGTTAGATGCTCTCACATCCCTGAGATGGGAACACCAGCTTATTTAATTTCATTTTCCGGCTGCCACAATGCGTGTAGCATGTGGATTTGCATGCTCAGCCTCCCCGTATATCTCGGGAAAGCCCACAGGCACTGCTGAGCCCTCCTGGCACAGACGCTTTCCTCCCCCTCCCGGAGATGGGGCAGAGGTGGATGGAAACCAGCGGGAGAGGAGCTGGCTGCTGCCTGGAGGAGCAAACCACGGCAGTCGGCGTGCTGCCAGCTGCCCTGCCCGTGCACGGAAAGTAAAGTGAGGGGGAATAAACGTGAAGAGTCCCAAGGGGCTAGACATAAGCGCAGAAGCAATTTAAAACTCCCGTTTGAGGTGACCGGGACTGATGGCTATTTATTGGAAGTACTCTGGGGAATGCAAGGAGAAACAAGGTAAAACACAAAGTCAGATGGGGAAGAGGAAGAAACGGGCAATCCCTAACAGCAAAGCTCTGGGGAGAACAAGTGTCCCACGGCCTGTCACCGTCTGGCATCTATGAGCCGAGAGATTTCCAACACCAGTAAGCAGTGTGGGAACACTGGTGTTTACCCGTGCCTGTCTCTGGGACGGTGCGAGCAGCCGGTAATAATTAAATTAAATTAAATTATATTAAATTAAATTTTCAGCTGTCAAGGCAGCCCAGGGCCGGAGAGGAGAGCTGGGGCTGTGGGGTG